CCCGCCTCCCCCCCCGACTTCCGGCTGCAGCCGCCCCCCCCGTATCTGCTGAGTGCCGCACGGTGAGTCCCAGTATGGCCCAGTATGGCCCAGCATGGCCCCAGCACAGCCCCATATAGACCAGTACGGACCAGTACGACCTGGTGTGGACCCATACGTCCCCATATGGCCACGTACATCCCAGTATAACCCAGTACAGCCCAGCCCAGCCCAGTCCAACCCAGTCCTCCCCCCTCAGGAAGGCAGAGCTGCTGCGGGGGGACCCCATCCCCGCCCCCCCCGACGACCCCGAGGACCCCGACGACGACCTGGATGTGTGAGGGCCGTATTGTGGGACCTACAGAAACTCGGGCCGTTATTGTAGGACCTACAGAAACTGGGGCTGTTATTGTAGGACCTACAGAACCTACAGAAACTGGGGCTGTTATTGTAGGACCTACAGAAACTGGGGCTGTTATTGTAGGACCTACAGAAAGCCTCGGGCGCCCATTAAAGCCTGCTGTCGCGGTCGTTGGGTGTTGTTGTGGGGCTGATATGGGGCTGTTTGGGATTATTGTAGGGCCTACAGGAGCCCAGGGGGGTTGTTGACAATGGGGTGCTTCAGGCCACGCCCCCCGCGGCTCAAGCCACGCCCACTCCACAGAAACCACGCCCCCTTTTTGTTTAACCCACGTTGTCACACTTAAGCCACGCCCCCTCGGCGGAAAGCCACGCCCTCATTGGGCCAGCCTGGGACTATTACCCGTAAGCCACGCCCACTCGACTCAAAGCCACGCCCACAGCGCACAAGCCACGCCCCCCGGTTTGCACTCGGTCCCTAGCGCACACAAGCCACGCCCACTCAGCATAAAGCCACGCCCCCCTGGTTCAGCCCATTTATTTAGTTTAAGCCACGCCCACTTGACACAAGCCACGCCCCCATCTGTTCAGCGCATGGTTTCCAATTTGTCCTTAAGCCACGCCCACTTGTCATAAGCCACGCCCCGATTGATTCCCCGTGGTTAGATTCGCCTTAAGCCCCGCCCACTCGGAACAAGCCACGCCCCCACTGTCTCATCCCACGTCTATTGGTCCCGAGCAGCGCTCATTAGTCATTCAAGCCACGCCCCCTCTGAGGAGCCAACCACGATCCGCGCTCCGCCCCAAGCCCCGCCCCTCCTCGCTCGAGCCACGCGTTCGCAATCCGCGGCCCCGCCCCCCATCGCCGCGCATGCGCTCTCCCCTCGCGCCCCCCGGAAGTGCTCGGCCGGAAGTGACCCCTTCGAGGAGCGGAGCCGGGGCGGGCGCACAAGATGGCGGCGGCCGAGCGCAGCCGCCGGTAACGGGGAGTCGGGGGGCCCGAAGGCTCCGTCTCCGCTCCCCCCCCCGGGTCCGGAGCCGGACCGGGTGGTGCCGGGGGGGGCGAAGCTGGCGGAGTTGGGCCGGGGGGGCGGCGGGGCGGCGGCGATGCGGAGTCAGTGCGTGTTGGGCCTGCGCTCGTTCGCCGCCTTCGCCGCCCGCCTGTGGAGCTTCGTGCTGTACGTGCTGAGGAGGCAGGTCCGCACCGTGAGTACGGGGCGGGAAGCGGGCGGGACGGGCGGCTGTGGGGCCTTAAGGGGGCTTATACGGGCTCTGTAGCGGCTTATGGGGCCTTATGGGGGTTATGGGGTCTTACGGAGCCTATGGGGATTGTGGGACCTTATGGGGCTTTATGGGGGCTTGTGAGGGTTATGGGGCCTTGCGGGGCTTTATAGGGGCTTCTGGGGGGTTGTAAGACCTTGTGGGGTTTTATTGGGGGGTCATGGGGTGTTATGGGGACTTATGGGGCTTTATGGGGGCCTGTAGGGGCTTTTGAGGGGTTATAGGGGCTTAGGAAGTTTTATGGTCTTGTGGGAGGGGGGTTTGTGGGGCCTTATGGGGGCTTATGGGCATTATGGGCCGTTATGGGGGCATGTAGGATCTTATGGGGGTTATGGGGCTTTATGGGGGCCTATGGGGGCCTATGGGGGCTTATGGGGGATTGCGGGACCTTATGAGGCATTATGGGGGCTTATGATGGTTATGGGGCCTTGTGGGGCTTTATAGGGGCTTCTGGGGTTTGTAAGATGTTATGGGACTTTATGGGGGGTTGTGGGGTCTTGTGGGGGCCTGATGGATCTTATGGGGGCCTATAGGGGGTCATGGGGGTTTATTTGGGGCTTCTGGGGACTTATAGGGGCTTAGGGAGGCTTATGGTATTGTGGGGTGGGGGGTTGTAGGGCCTTATGGAGGCTGGTGGGATTTTATAGGGGATTGTGGGAGTTATGGGGGGGGGGTT